TTTTTCTTCATATAACCCACTTTAGAGTATCTTAGATATAGTATATGAACACACTAAAAATAATAAAGTAGTATATATACCACATGGTAGTATATGAGATATGGGTGTAAACTACATCCAGTAGTAGGATGTTTATAGTAACCCTAAACTAAGTGTGAGTGTAGAATAGCTTATCCTACACCTCAGTAACAGTACATACAAAATATAGTAAAACACTGTGCAAAATATAGTAATTTTTGTAAAAATGTACTAAATTACAAACTTGTGTAGTGAAAAAATATTTTCTGGATCACTACATTTTTATACACTGTTTGACTAGATTTTGTATATAGGGTTACTAGGGCTTGTAGAATAAGCTATTCTATACTCATGCTTAGAATAGCGTTACCATATATATAAGTCATGAGTGAAAAATTATACATTAGTGAATGTTCATAAATTGTTAGTAAATGTTTATATTTAGTATTTTGTAGAACCTAATAATATAAATAGCACAAGTGTATAAAGTTTATCATATTCATTGAGCATTTTAAATATTTGTACTTACTAAATAGTTTTTAATATAATCTATGAGTGTATATTTAAATGTTTTTATTTACAAATTAACCATATCATTTTTATTTATATATTTATAACACACGAATATTAGAACATTATTTTTATTCCTTACAAACGAATTACAAATATTTTTAAAAACAATTTTGCTAAAGTACATCTAGATGTGCCAAAAGTATTGCACATCTAAGTCCTATGTTATTGATCTTAGACGGAGATTCATGTGCGTATTTGTTTTCTTATTTACGATTGATGAGTCACTTGGATGTGCAATAACTCACATCTAGATGTGCCTTGGATAGACCCTTTTTAAAAACTACGCATGCAAAATGGGCCGCGGGAACTGCAGCTCTCTTATGCCCAGCGAGTGTGTTGATTGTTATTCATTTAGCGTTCGTATCTGTTTTGGATGTAATGTAGTTTTCCCATCTGTGGCCAGTAGTAGCAGTGTTTTCCGACGAGCTTTTGGTCTCGCGTTCGAATCCCCGGTTTGTACTGATGACATGTGGGAGCCCTGTGTTAGGGTCTTTTCCAATAAAAATAATTATTTTGAGTTTCCTTTGCAAAATAACATGACACACGCCTCATCCACACTGGCACATCTCATCACCATTGTTTTCATATCAAACACAATTTACATCGTATATGCACGCCCGAGGTAAGTTCTGTTTAATGTATACCACAAGTTTTAGTATTAAAGTGACTTTCCTAGCAAAATTTCACCACCGGTGATGTAATTGACTATCATTAGTTCTACAAAGGGCAATGCTTCTTGTCAGACTATAGCAAAGGGTCAAGCTAGAAACGAGATCCTATGGGTCATTCTGTAACATGGTGTCATTCCCAAAATTAACAGTTATTAAACTAAATTTAGTGAAGGATTTAAAAAATCGCCGGTGTCAGTTGACACCAATGCTTATACTGGAGCTTCGACCCCTAAGCTAATAAGTGCAAAGCAGATGAAGACTAGTGTTCGTTTATCCGATGATGAACAAAAGCTTGATAACCTTAATCGAGCAAGAAACAATATGTAAAGTATTTAATAGCATCAGATTGAAGTGTCAATTCTATGATCTGGCACATGGAGTGTGTAAACCAGTTAGACTGATGATCCCAGCATCATTTGTTTCTTTAAATCATGATTTGGCACATCAAGTCGCATTGATAACTTGTTGCGACATGCTCCACATGAAAAGATTTTAAAGCTAGATATGTCAGGGGAACATTCCAAAGAATATTGTGAAGGAACAATTTGGTGTGCGGAAAGTAATTAAGCTTGTAGTAACAGTATGCTCTTTGTTCACAAATCCATAATTAAATTAAGAATCTACATTATAGTCTAGCCTTGTTTTAAAGATGTCATCAGTAGGAACATTGTGTGTCAAATCATGTTTGTAGTACAGATATTCATAAGCCATCAAAAGGAACACTGTGATCCTGCTTGGTTTGATGTTAATTTTTTACATGCCAATATTTTTTATTTGCAAAAATGATTCAGATATGCTATCAAAGTTCAACGAAAGTACAAAGCACCTCAAAGATAATATAAAGTGACCACTACTGCCGTCAGAACTAGCCGCCAACGCATCATTGTCGCTTCTTCTATACTGGAGCCAACTTGACCTTGGCGATGACAACCGGGAAGTCTTTGTGCAAGTGCCCCGTAGTCGTCGTTGTTGAACCACTGAATAGATCTGAAGCACCTGACACCAAAATCTCACCACATGAGGAGAAACCATAACCTCACCGTTCCAAGGAAACAACAGGAATCTATGACAGAGCTCCGCCGACTACGTCTAGGTGGACGAACTCGATGAGGATTAGAGCCTGGAAGAAAAACTCAAAGAAGAAGCGTCGCCATCCATCCGAGTGCATCACCTGCGAGGACTAGAAAAATCCTAACCTAAACTACTAACCGAAGCGGAGACATTGGGATTCCCCTCCCCACCACCGGTCGCCTGAGCGGCATGCAGAGGGTAGGCGTATCCAGGGGCTCGCGGGCAAAGCCTGGAGGGAAGAGTTTACCCTAGTTGCCATGGATTGGGGAGGGGAAATAAGGTGAATCTAGAAGACATGTCCCTTTTACATGCCAATATTTGGCACTGCCCCAAATATTGGCTACTAATTGATTGGTTGGAAGACAGAGTACCCAACTTTGTATAGAGTTATTACTATTTTTGCAAGTCTTGCTATTGCAGAAAATTTGAAGGCAAACCAAACATACCACATACGCTTACTTGATGAAGTGGAAGCAGCTTGCCAAACATGCATAGCTAGAATTTACCGATTTCTAAATTTGAATTTTTTTGATTGGTAGGGCCCGCATAAACGCATACCCCCTCTTCCAAAAATTATGACATCCATTCTCCCAATTGGGGAGATGGTAGAACAACATGCTCACCAAATGCAATTTGAGTCGTGGATCTAGGCCATGACCCTTCATGATCAGTCGGAAGCCCCGTCCAGGTAGGGGTATGCTGCATTAGTGACCTATGTGCTCGTTATAAACACTTGCTTTATCACCGCCACCTCCTCTCACCAGCGAGGTGGTACTAAACCAAGCCAGAGGGTCATCGAGTAGAAAACATATCTTTTGTATTTTAAGAAAATGTAGATCTTTTGAATTGTTAAAACACTTTAATAAAATATTAAAAATGTATTACATATATTTTTATTATTGATTTTTTTTCATATATACCCATTGCCATCCCGATGTGGGAGGGATGCTGCCACCACCTGAGGGGCAACAGACATGGCGAAGAATTTTTACCTTTTGTATTTTAAGAAAATGCATGTATTTTAAATAGCTGAACATCATAATAAAATACTAAATTTAAAATATTATACTTCCGCTGATCCATATTAATTGTCATTGATTTAATACAATATTTTCTCGTAAAAAAGTTACAAGTTGCACTAAATGGGAGTAGACTTATTTCCTAGTTTTAAAATTTATTCATACAATTTGGAAAATTTTGTCATGTATAGTATATCAAATAGTATGCACAGTACAAGAGAAAAATATTATGTAAACCACAAAAAAATGTGTAATTTCTTTACGTCACTAATTTGAAAATATCTATGTATATCAAAACAAACATCCGTAACTATTTTATAAACATCCACGATAGAAATTTGGGAAAAAAGAAACAAGAAAATGGAAAATCTGAACAAAAAGACCTGTTAAACGAGGCATTTAGGACTGAGTATTTAGCAGGAACACATGGCACATTATTTATCGATTTTAAGAGGTGAATATTCGGTTCGCCGTTTGAACATTTGCTCCTGGAGAATAGCAAATTGAAAAAAAATAGTAAATAAAATTTAAACTTTCTGATTTCTTTGTAGATACTATTGTTAGTGTAATAAGCATGCTTGACAAATATCACGAGAAACATGATAGCAGTGCTTTGTTGGTGAAAAAAAATGTGTAATAATTGTAGGTAGCATTTGGTGTTCTTCTTGCGT